AAATGTCTGCAAGAAAACAACCAAGCTCAGAGAGCACCAAGGATCACACCTAAAGAAGAGCTAGGAAAGATGTTCCCTCTACAAATAATGAACACCAGAGGGAGCTGCTCCAGGCCAGGAGAACTTGCAGCCATCAGTAGCTACAGCAGTCCTTCCCAAACGTGAGTAAATTATCCAAAATTAGATAAAAGCTTTTTTTTCCCCGTTGGGTAATGACACATATAACCCAATAACCATAGAGAAATTCAAATTGACTTAAAGATTGCCACGTCTACATGGTGATTCTCAACCATCCAAGTCATGGTTGTCCCAAAGGTGAATTTTCAAGAGGCAACTGGACTTTCTTGTTTTATTTATTTATTTATTTGATTTGATTTCTGTACCGCCCTACTCCCGAAGGACTCAGGGCGGTGCACAGCCAAACAATAAAATACATACATACAAAATTCAAAAGTGGAATTAAAATCAAATTTAATAGTTTTGGCCCAGACAAATTTTTCTCTGAAGATGTTTCATTTCTCATCCAAGAAGCTTCTTCAGCTGTGACTGGATGGTGGATCCTTCCATTCCCCACTGTCCAGTCAGAACTGAAGAAGTTTCTTGGATGTGAAGCGAAATGTCTTCAAAGAAAAACGAGTCCAGTTGCCTTTGGGATTGCCACACATACTAAAATCTATCTGAAAATCTCCCAAAGCATTCCTATTAAAATTGAAATTGTTGAAACTGCCAATGGTCATTTGCTGAAGTTGACATAAACATCATTCAATGATCTTGTTCTTATATTACAGATAATCCTCGAGTTACGACCATTCATTCAGCAACAGTTCAAAGTTACGATGGTGCTGGGGGGACTTTTGACCAATCCTCAAAGTTCCCTCAGACTTGCTGATAAGTGGTTCGGGGTATTTGGGAAGAACCAACTTAGAGCAAACCTCTGTGCCCCAAGTGTTCTCGAGAGTTTGCTCACCGCACCCCTGCAAGCGTTGCTCCTTGGGACTTTCCAGTACTTTCTCATATATTTCCCTTCACAAAGTGCCCTTTTAACAATGTGAACTTTGGTTTCCTGAGCAGCAATGTCAGATTCTCCATTCCATTTTGTTTTCTATGGCACTCCCTTGTGTCTGGCCTTTGTCCCCAAATATTCTTTTTCTCTGGAGAAAGAATGTGGAAGGTGCTGCTTTTAAAAATGTTTACAGAGAGCAAGGATGAACTTCCAGATTTAATTTCCAGATCTCTGGAATTAATATAAAAATCAATCTAAAATTTAGCAAAAGGAAAGGCAGGTATTGTGAATGTGAGCATAATGTAGGTTTAGTTGCTTTTCTTTTTCTTTCTTCCCCTTATCCCATGCCTCTAATTTTGTTGGCTATTTCAGCTTTCCATTTTACATTTTGTAAGAACTATTTACCATAACTGATTTCCTCATTTCTTTGCATCTGAGATAGACTGCCTCTGAATACTGAAGTTCCATTTATCTATAATGATGAACCTGTGAAAAGCAGAGGGCTTCTTATGTATTGATCCCCAAGCTGCATCATCTGAGGTAGACTGCCTTTAAATACTGAAGTTCCATTCACTTTAATTAGGAACTTATGGAAGGCAGGGACCTTCTTCTGAAAACTGGGGTGCCCTTAGAGGGGTCAAAAAAGTTAAGATGAAAGCTACAACCTTATCAACCTTTTTTATGTGACTCCTGTGGACACCCAAAAGAGTGTCCAACTGCTGTTAGCTGGGTTTCTTGCAGGACTGCCATTATTTCTGCCTGTCCAGTATGAACTGACAGGGTCACCATGCACATCCCTGAAGAGGAGACTCTAAAATACAAGGCACACATATGAAAGAAACAATGGAGATTTCACTTTGATCTAGTCATTAAAAAGAGCAAGTTAGAAAGTGGGAGGCGGTGAGTTCTAGTTCTGCCTTAGTTCTGTTTTAGGCATGGAGTCAGCTAGATGGTCTTAAACCAGTTACTCTCTCTTAGCCCTGGGAAAAAAGAAGGCAAGGGCAAGCATCTTCTGAAAAATATGGTAAAGAAAACTGCAGGGATTTGTCCAGGCAGTCAATAGGCATCAAGACTGCCTCAAAGCCAATAATAGTAAAATGTGATTTGAGTGCAATCCTAAAACACCCAAGCACCACGTAAATACAATCAGCATTGACCAAATCCTCATCAGTAATTGCAAAAGGCAGCTTTTCTTGAACAGTTTACATCCTGCGATGATCCCTTTAATATCATCAAACAACAATATCTGCCTATCCCAGGACTCATAAGTGAACAAAAGTACCAAATCCAGTGTAAACATGTGGCTGACTGTGTGACCAACCATAATAATAGTAAGATGTTTGAATTTGTGCTTCCAAACTGGGACTGCAGAGTCACCTCTGTGCCCAACTGTTTGTTTTCTTCAAACCTCAAAGACGACCAACTTAATAATATGCAGCTCTCTGTGTTATACATGCATTCCTAATTTCCAGTCTAGTTTAGGCCACTAAAACATAAAAATTTGAGGGAAGCCAAAGGCCAAATTTGTGTTTCTGAGGGGAGGAAAAAAGGCTTGGCTGTGTTTTTACCCTGGGTCTCCATCTAGAGTTCAAAGAGGGAATTGCAGGGAATTGCCTTCAATGTGAAGTGTTGCTTTTTTTCTGAAGGTTCTTTTTTCAATCTGATCATTGATTCTTTTACAGTATTGCTCCCGTTCTTCTTAATCTAAGATTCACTCCTCCAAATCTCTCTTTGGATGTTTTCAGTCCTGATGATCTAGAATGCCTTTTGAACTGGAATAATGTTTGGAATCTGTTCTTATGCCTTTTTTGTTTTATGTATCTAGGTTTTATGATACAGTGCCATGCCTGCAACTTTTCATCTTATCTTGTAAACCTTGACTTATGACCATAATGGAGCCCCAAATTTCCATTGCTAAGCAAGACAGTTGTTAAGTGAATTTTGACCTGTTTTACAAACTTTCTTGCCACAGTTGTCAAGTGACTTGCTGCATTTGTGTTAAGGTGACCAATTGTCCTCCTTTAGGGACGACAGTCCTTCTTTTGTAAGTTCTGGCCTCTCTCGAAAAGTGTCCTCCTACATGTCCTCCTGTTCAATATTTGAAGTCTAATCTGTAAATCTCCATATTCGATCGATGCTGAGCCGATCCGTTGCGTGTGATGTGACGTATTTGTAATTGACATGACGATTCATTAAGGCTCGGTACAGTGCGGCGAGACGCGATTATGAGACGCATGCGCTCCGCACAGGAGAATTGTTTTGAAAGAATGCGCCGCGCACAAGTGGCTTTGTTTACTTCTTACCAAAACACAACACAGCACACACACATGCATTAGACTCATTGTTGCAATGAATAAAATGTTTCTTTTATTTACGATATTTTTTTCCTTCAATTTATTTGTGTCCTCCTTTTCATTGTAAAAAAGTTGGTCACCTTAGTTGTGTAACATGGTTGTTAAGTGAATCTGGCTTCCCCACTGACTTTGCTTGTCAGAAGGTCTTCCTGCCTAAATCAAGATTATCTTTCAAGGCAACTGAGTTGGGGGTACTGTGCCATTTTGAAGCATCCGCCTTCTCACTCCTTTAGACCCTAGAACCACTCCATATTTAGGTAACACTGATGCCTCCATTATAAAATATTGTTTTTACAAGGTTTTTAAAAATATTTTAATTACCATCATATTTTAATGTTAATTATGCACAATGAGGGGGTATGATGACTCAGTGCAGGGGTGGATTCTAAATTTTTTTACTACTGGTTCTGTGGGAGTGGCTTATTTTGTGGGCGTGGCTTTGTGGGTTCTGTGACTGGGTCGGCGTGGCCAACTTTTTTTTTTTTTTACTTTTAAAAGCATTTTTTCTACAAACTTAAGAGGTTCAAAAAAAAATGCTTTTAAAAGCCTCTGACGATCAAGCAACTCAGCTGGGATCGCCAGAGGCTTTTAAAGGCATTTTTTTTTCTACAACTTCTTCGGCCAAAGAAGTTGTAGGAAAAAAAAGCCTTTAAAAGCCTCTGGCGATCCCAGCTGAGCCGCGCGATCATCAGAGGATTTTTTTTTAACTTTTAAAAGCATTTTTTCGGCCGAAGAAGTTGTAGAAAAAATGCTTTTAAAAGTAAAAAAAAAAGCCTATGATGAGGTAGGCGGGGTAAGCGAGCGGCGACCGGGCCGGGGACTGGTTCGGGGGCATGGCCAGCCAATGTTATTACTGGTTCTCCGAACTACTACAAATTTTTACTACCAGTTCTTGCGAACCGGTGCGAACCGGGAGCAACTCACCACTGGCTCAGTGGTTCAAAAGACACTGAGCTTATCGGTTGGAAAACTGATGGCCTGGGTTTGAGACCAAGTGCTGCACGACGGGATGAGCTCCCGTTACTTGTCCCAGCTCCTGCCCATCTAGCAATTCGAAAGCAAGTAAATGCAAGCAGATAAATACTTTCCACACTTCAGTGGGATGGTAACAGCATTCCATGTTCCTTAGGCGTATAGCCATGCTGGCCACATGACCACAGAAAACATCTTCGGATGACGCTGGCTCCCTCGGCCAAGAAACAGAGATGAGCACTGTACCCCAGAGTCGGACACAACTGGACAGGTGAAACCTTTACAATTTTTTATGCACAAAGATTTAAGTTCTTTCATTCAATTTCTAAATTTTTGTTATGCAACTTAGAATTTACGGTTGTTTGGATGTTAATATGGTTTTATTTCCTGTTTTATCTCAGTTTTATTTTTTAAAAAAGGTGATTTTTAAAATTTTGGTAAGTTAACTTGAGTAACCTTTGCTGCCAGAGAAAAAGATTGTCCTCTTGATATGAAACTCCTGCCAATTCTCCCTTTGTTAAGAAAAATCTTCCTCCTTATTCAATGTTACAACTCTGAAAGGAGACACTGTTTGCTTTGCCCTGATTGCTTTTGACCACATTTATCTACGGTTTCTCATCTTGTTTCCTCCTTCCAGCTTGTCTCTCTTACGGGGAGGAAACAATGCGAAGAAGTATCTGTCGAGGAGTGGCCATGAGACAGGGAGTTTACTGGAACAGGTGTGTGCCGATTCACTTTCCTTTTCCTCCAGCTCCTCAGTTTGACTCTGAATTTCAGCAGATGCTGGTTGCATGCAGCACTCGAAACCATGTGGGGTTCAAGAAATGGGAGCCTTTCTTATGACCAGTATCCCGAAGCTGGGCCGGAGCATCCTCCTCCTGCCATCTGCAACCCTCAACTCAAACAGGCTGGTTCAAGAGTGGCTCTCTTTAAATACACTCCACCGTGGCAGGTCTTCTGTGCAGCTCTGGGGTCCAAGTTGCAGGTAAGAAGATGAAGATCAAAATGTGGCTATCAGCAGATTCCTCCAAAGTGTGTTTGTTTATCTTTATCTTTATTAGATTTCTATACCGCCCTTCTCCCGAAGGACTCAGGGCAGTGTACAGCCATATTAAAACACATATAAATTTACAAAATTTAAAACAATTTAAAATTGAATATATAAAAATTTGGCCCATAGATTAAAACATGCATACACCCATTCTAAATTCGTATTAGGCCAGGCCGGCTTTTTTTTTTTTTTTTTTTTAAATTTGATTTATATGCCGCCCTTCTCCGGAGACTCAGGGCGGCTTACAATGCGTTAAGCAATAGCCTTCATACTTTTGTATATTTATACAAAGTCAGCTTATTGCCCCACAAACTGGGTCCTCATTTTAACCTACCTTAGAAAGGATGGAAGGCTGAGTCAACCTTGAGCCTTGGAGAGATTCGAACCAGCAGTAAATTGCAGGCAGCTGTGTTAATAACAGGGTGCTTTAAACCACTGTAGTACCAAGGCTTGTTGGAACAAGAGGGTCTTCAAGGCGCGGTGAAAGGTACGCAGGTCGGGGATGAGATGATTCAAGGGGCAGCTAATTCCAGAGGGCTGGCGCCCCCATAGAGAAGGCTCTCCCCCTGGGTTTTGCCAGTCGGCATTGTCTGGCCGACGGCACCCTGAGGAGCCCCTCTGTGGGAGCGTATTGGCCGGTGGGAGGCTGTTGCTGGCAGCAAGCGGTCTCGTATGTACCCCGGAGCGCTTTAAAGGTGGTAACAACACCTTGAATCGCACTCGGAAGACCATTTGTGTAAATCCCATCTATATTCCTTTTACAAATACTCAAGGGGGCAATAATTCAACACAATAATCCTGTGAGGAGGGTTGGGCTGAGTGAGAGTGACTGGCCCAAAGTCACCCAACTAGCTTTCATGGCTAGGCGGGATTTGAACTCACAGTCCTCTGCTTTCTAGCCTGCTGCCTTAACCACCAGATCAATCTGACTCTCAGTTTTCATTAGTTTGAAATTTGAATGGTGTGTGTGTGTGTGTGTATTATTAACTTTTACTTTGTTTAATTTTGAATCAAATTTAAATCTGGGTTAGATTGCATCATTGTTGGTTGGTCCACTTCTTTATCCTGGCCATGCCACTTTGGGGGGTGCTATTCTGACCACTCTGAAAAAAACCCTCCCCCACTCAATTTATAAGATGGTTCCTGCTGCCTTTCACAATGCAGGGTTGGCATTGATCCCATCTTAGCTTCCCAAGAGCCCTGTGAGGTAGATTCTTCCTGGGTTTCCTTTTTTTTCATGTTGGAGCCAGGCTGAACGATATTGCTGTTCCTCATCCAGAATTCTCTAGAGTAATAGTAGTTTTAAATAACAGTTGAAGGACTAGGTTTGATGAGACATTGCCAAAGCTTCCTAGGTATTTAAAACATCCACCGTCAGATGTTCCCACCTGGATATGGCTGCAGGTAGGGAGGTATTCAGAGAGGGAAACCTCTCTCCTATATGGGGGAACAGCATTGTTCACTAGCAGTGATTTCCTCAGGATAGACTGCCTCAAAACATGCAGGTTCTAATCCACATCGATAGACTTCTTTACCAAGAAAATATCAAATATCTAAAAAAATTATCTGATTAAATAGCCTACTTAGTACCTTTGTTTTTCTACCTACAAGTAGTCCTGGTTGAGCTGCATTTCGGTCATAAAGAATGACAGTCATTAAGTGAGTCACAATAGGACCATGCCTGATTTTATGAACTTTTTTTGCAATGGTGGGTAAACAAATGTTTTTTCATAAAGCGAATGCCCTGGTTTTTCACCTTTGTTTACTATGGGGTGGTTTTTGCTGCAAACCTGTAGTAAACGCAGGTTTCTGGCAAACCCATCATAAATTAGTCACATGATTGCGAGGGAGGGCAGCTATTGAAACTTCAAATCTAGGTACTAAGTAGCTTAGTCTGTCACACCTCTGAATGGTCCCTAAGCAACCAGCTGTAAATCAAGGACTACTTGTATTCAAATAGAGGCCTTTAGGAAGCACAATGATTTAGGCATGATTTTAAACCTGAGGGTCCTTTATTCAATCTTGATTGCCATTGTTGAATTCTGCCCTTGTTGGGGAGAGCTGAGACCCTATTATACAAGCACACATCCCATTTTATTCTCACAATAAACCTAGAAAGTCACTTTGAACCAGTGACCTAATTAATCACTGAGCACGGATTGCAATCCGAATAAAAGTGGCATTGTTTTCCTTTCAGGACACTGGCTGAACTCTAAAGAGATGGTTTTTCTAATGAAACTGAGTAATTTTGCTGCATTGTTGAAGTGTGGGTCTAGTCCAGTGTTTCTCCATCTTAGTCATTTTAAGATGTGTGGATTTCAGCTCCCGGAAAGCTCCAGCCAGTATTGCTGGCTGGGGAATTCTGGAAGTTGAAGTCTACATGTCTTAAAATGGTTAAGGTCGAGAAATGCTGGCCTATAAGGCCACTTGCTGATCCTTGACTCAAGGGAGGCATCAGCTTTTCAGTGTTCAGTTCTTTGTGTAATCCACAGTCCACTTAATTGTTGTTCAATTGCTTCTAACCAGGAGTATCTGCTGGGCGGGGTCAAAAAAACCAAGATGGTGGCCATAATCATGTGATCAAACCTTGCTCCTTTTATGTGTGTCATAACACACCTAAAAAAGGACAGGGCTTCGATTATAGGATTGTGGCCAAGGTTTTTATTTTCTTGAAGTATGTAAAAAGGGTGGGGCTTCAATTGCATATTTCTGGCTGCTATCTTGACTTTTTTTTTTTTTAACCTCTGCTTGTCACTTTTCATAGCCCAGGGGACATTTTGCCAGTCTAGGTAGGAATAGAATAAAATAGAATAGAATAGAATAGAATAGAATAGAATAGAATAGAATAGAATAGAATAGAATAGAATAGAATAGAATAGAATAGAATAGAATAGAATAGAATAGAAAATAGAATAGAAAATGTAGAATAGAATAGAATAGAATAGAATAGAATAGAATAGAATAGAATAGAATAGAAAATAGAATAGAATAGAAAATGTAGAACTAGAATAGAAAAAAAAAAGAATAGAATAGAAAATAGAATAAAAAATGTAGAATAGAATAGAATAGAATAGAATAGAATAGAATAGAATAGAAAAATGTAGAATAGAATAGAAAATAGAATAGAAAATGTAGAATAGAATAGAATAGAATAGAATAGAATAGAAATAGAATAGAAAAAGAATAGAATAGAATAAATAGAATAGAATAGAAAAAATAGAATAGAAAATATAGAACAGAACAGAACAGAATAGAATATGAGGCCTTGGAGGTCTTCTAATCCACCCTTACAACCATTTGTTTAATGACCATTCAAAGTTACAACGGCACCGAAAAAAGGGACTTATGAGCAGTTCGCACACTTACGACCATTGCAGCATCCCCACAGTCATGTTGTCAATTTTTGGGTGCTTGGCAACCAGTGTGTATTTAGAATGGGTCCTGAGATAGTCATTTGGAACCTTCCTAGGGAGTTTCTGTTAGGTCAAGTCAATGGGTAGAGCCAGTTGTGCTTAACAATTGCATGATTCATTTAACAATTGTAGTGATTCACTTAACAGCCATAGTAAAAAGATCCTAAAATGGGGCACGGCTCATTTAACAACTGCCTTGCTTAGTAACAAAAAAATTGGGCTCAGTTTTGGTCGTAAGTCGAGGAATACCTGTATTGTCAGTCAGCAACTTTTGCTTTGAGTCCTTGGAACCTCCAAATTTCAGATATTAGAAATAGTATCTACCCACTTATCTTCTGCCAAGGCTTTTTCTGATTGGCATCGATTTGTCCACACTTGACAATCTTCTCCAACAATTTTTTCCCCTCACTTTATGGTCCAAAATAATTAAGCATTCCCTCACTTCTTAGGGCTTATCAAAAACATTTTGATTTTATTTCATTGCGCACTGACTAATTTCTTCTTGCTCTTCAGATTTTCCTCATTCCTTTTCTTCAGCCTCACAATTCAAAGGCACCAATAATAGTTTGAGAAACCATCTCCAGATTCATAGTTCAAAAATGTCTATTCTCTTTCTTTTGTTTTTTGTTGATCTCCAGCTTTTATAAGCAATCTTTCTCTTCTCTTGGAAACACCATTGCTTTAAATTATTGTGGTGATGATCTTTATTGCCATAAAAATATCCTTCTCTTTTACAATCTTGCCTGCTTGTGTTGTTGTCTTCCTCCTCAGGATTAATTTCCTCTTTACTTCTTCAACATATCTTTGTCATTATCAGTTCTTAATCCTCCTCCCTGCAAACAAAGAAATAAGTACACCCACTAAATATTTTGGTCGACATTACCTTTGACAACTTAATATTCAGTGCTAACCCAGATTTCTTTTCATGTCTCATTTACTTTTAGGTAGCACAGTAGCATCATCTTCATATCTGGTGTAAATACATGCCGGTTGCCAAGCAACCAAAATTTTGATCACTTGACTATGGGGATGCTGTGACAGTTATAAGTGGAAGGACAAGTCATGTCACTTTTTTTAGTGCCATTGTAACTTTAAATGGTCACTAAACAAATAGTTGTAAATCGAGGATTATATATAATAGAATATCGTATTTTTCGGAATATAAGACGCACCAGAGTATAAAACACACCTTAGTTTTTGGGGAGGAAAATAAAAAAGCTGATCGGTGGGTGGATTGGCCTCCCAAATACCTCCAATCAGCTGTTCCTAGAGGTGAATTTTAGCAACAGGTTCCTTGGTTGTGAGCTCTGTGCCTTGCTTTTTCTTCAGCCTCTGAAATGTCTGAAAACTTTTTTTTCTGGCTCTGAAAGCCTCCGAAACAGAGCTTCAGAAAAAAAGCTTCTGAGGCCCTTTTTTTCTGAAGCTCTGTTTCGGGGGCATTTTTTCTGAAGCTTCTTTCAGAGGCTTTTTTTCTGAAGCTTCTTTTAGGGGCTTTTTTCAGCCTCTGAAATCTCCCTTTGA